CAAGGAAGTTTTGATAGTTTTTCGAACATTGAAAACTATTAAGGGCCTAAGCTTTGGCAGTGCAGGTTTGAAGAAAGCTTCAAAAACTTAGGTTTTAATAGGTGGATAAAATGTAAATGAGTTTCTCAAAAGCCACCGCCCCCTAAATAGTCTTCAGACAGATTTCTTCTTGTCACAGTGCAGTTCAGCAGTGTTGAGAATAAACATGCTATTTTCCCCCAGTAAGTGGAAGAGGTATAAGGCCTCTGCTACCTCATGCAAGACTGCCAAGGTAATTATCCCCCCTTAAATGTGCTAAACCACAGTGTGTTGGTCACTGAAAGCAAGCAAGCAGAACTTACTTTAGAAACCCATGGGCTTCTGGGAGTCCTCAGCTGTCTGACACGATACTTTGGTCCCAATACTTTGGTCCCAATACTATACTAAGACCTCTGGATTCACACCAGCTGGAACACAGTTTTCCATATACTGAAATTCCCACCAAGTTCCTACAATGGCAGAGACAATAAACTAGTTAAGTACAAAGCCAGGAAACAGAAAAAGCCCCACCAAGTCTTACTTGCAAAAGAAAAGGCTCACTTAGAGTTAAAGTGTGAAGCCCAGTAGAGTGCTTATTTGAAACACATAGAGGCCCTGGGTTTGAGTCCCAGCACCAGACTGAAGGGAGAACCCTCATTACAATCAGAGGTCCTCAGTCTCAATTACTCCTGCCATTAATCTTTCCCCTCATGTGGACGTTTTTATTCCTCATCTGCTTCTTGATCTTCCATGGCGTGAGTCAACTCCTGTAACCTAGGTTACCCATCCCATGAAATACCCTCCACACTGTTGCTTCCTGCTATCTGTGGCTACCTTCCTGTGTGGCCTCAGGTAGTTCCCCTTATGGTTCTGCCTAGTTTGAGCTCATGCTGTGCTGAAGAAAGTTAAATCATAGTCAATGGCTAGAAAGATAGTTATATCACTTAGGACCAAAATCTCTATTATTAAGTTCATCCTCCAGTGAAAAGTGGACATTGTTCCAGTTAATATTTTAGACAGCTACTGCTAAAATAAATGTTTTTACAATACAGTACACCTTTAGTGACTATGCTGTTTACAACAGTACTTCTCAACCGGAAAACAAAAGAAAGTTAATTTTTAAAAGCTGTTCTTTTTCAAAGACTGAATTTCGTTAACAGCACCATGGCCAAGAGTGTCACCTACTGGCAAATAAAGGCATTTTTATAAAATTGTGTTCAACTTGCCTTCCGAGCTTTATTCCATTCTTAAAGTGTGTGTGTGTGTGTGTGTGTGTGTGTGTGTGTGTGTGTATTATTTACATCAGACTGGCAAGCTGGTTCAGTGGTTAAAGGCACCTGCTGCCAAGCCCAAGGAGCTGAGCAAGAGAAGGGTGCTGACTATAATTAAAGGGATGGTTATGGGGATGAGTACAACAGAGGAAGAAGGAGTGATGAAGTGGGGGGAGGGGGGATGGCTGCTGAGCTGAGGGCAGAGCCCAAGAGGCAGTCAGGCAGACTTGAAGGGGAGAACACTGCAGCAGAGATCTCAGCAAGAACAAAACCCAAGCAAGGAACCAGCCTGGGGAGTTAGAAGAGCCAGGGCCAGTGTGACCAGAGGAGCTGTCTACATAAATGTGTCCTGGGTCACCGTAGGCCAATGTAAAGGTATAAAGCTTCCCTGAAGGGCACAAGAAGCCGCTGAAGAACATGAATAAATCAGAACAAGGACATGATCTCCGGAGTTTAAATGACTGCCCAGGATGAAGCAGGAAGTCAAGACTCTAAGATTCTGGTAGAGTAGCGGCCAGAGATGGCAGAAGCAGAGAGTGTAGAAAATGGTTGGGATCGGCCCTACATCTTGTTGTAGGACATCCCTGAGGTTTCCTCTCCTTCCGCCTGAACTGGATCAGACATAGCAGTCATTCACTGAGTCTGGTTATAGGATCAGAGGGATCCAGTCGGCACCATGACTTTGCAGCTTTGCTTTAGCAAAGTCTTAAGCCCCTAAACCTGGCTTCCCAAAGCTAATGACACACCCCATCTGTACCCCTCTTTGTTATTCTAATGACAAAATACACATAAGTGTATCGGGAACACAGTGTCAGTTACCACAAATAAATGGCTCATCACCTTTCTTTCTCTATTTTAAATAATATATATGCAAACAATTGGTTAAAATTACAAAGAAATGCTAGCTGTCCCATTGTGGTGTTTTGAATAGGAATGGCCCCCATAGACTCATGTATTTGAATACTTGGCCCATAGGGAGTAGCACTATTAGGAGGTGTGGCTTTGTTAGAGTAGTTGTGGCCTTATTAGAGGAAGTATGTCTCTGTAGGCATGGACTTTGAGGTCTTATATGTTAAAGTTATATCCAGTGTGGCTGCTGCCTTTAAATCAAGATGTAGAACCCTCAGCTCCTTCTCCAGCACCATGTTTCTTGCCATGATGATAATGGACTAAACGTTTGAAATTATATATAAGCCAGCCCCAATTAAATGTTTTCCTTTATAAGAGTTGCCGTGGTCATGGTGTCTCTTCACAGCAATAAAACCCCATTTAAGACACTCCTCTAACTTCAGGTTTTAAGATGCCCCAGAATGTTGTTTTTGATGGGTCTGAATTGCCTTCTAAAAGATCAGGACTTGGGGTGTGCTAAGCCAATAGAGCATGTATCTAGCATGCATTCGACCCAAGGTTTGATTCCCAGTACCAGGAAAAAAATGTTTTTAATATTTCTTTTATTATTTAAATATTTTGATTTTATTATGTGTATGAGTGTTTGCCTACATGTCTGTCTGTGCACCATGTGTGTACCTGGTGCTTATGGAGGTCCGAAGAGAGGGTTGGATGCCCTGGGACTGGAGTTACAGACAGTTATAACTGCAGTGTTGGTGCTGAGAATTTGACCTGGGTCCTCAGGAAGAGCAGCCAGTGCCCATCTCTTCAGCCCTTTGTTTGCTTTTTAAATAAAAGGCCTAGCAATTTATACATACTATGAGCCAAATGTGGAGGCATCCAATCCTGTGTGTTATGTGTATGTGCATGTGTAAGTTCAAGGCAGAGGATGAGGTTGGATGTCTTCTTCATTCTCCCCCGTATTTTTTGAGATAGATAGTCTCTCCGTGAACCTGGAGTTCACCGATAGGTTGGCCACTATGCTCCAGGGACCCACCTGTCTCCAAGCCTGTGCCCCTATTCCCATCAGTGCTGGAGTTACACATTCATATACTTTACTAGCCAAGTCATCTCCCTACCCAGAGTTGCATCCCTTCTGCACATTCGAGAACTAAAGACGGTTTCCAACTCTGATCATCTGAACTAAGAATAGACACTGGAAAATCAGTTTACTTCCTGTGTCCCAGGAGCTACCTGGGAAGTATTTGTATTTATAAAGATACAAGACTTCCACAGGATTTCTCCTCTGCACAGACAAGCTACAGTTAATCCTCAACAGGCAACAAATACCTCCTAATTGCTGTGTCTCCAATTTATGCAAAAAAGAAAGTGAAATCTTTGAAACAACCCTCCATACACTCTTTTCATGTAACTTCTGGATTTTACCTTCCAAAGACTTCTGTCTTTAGGTTTAAACACTTTAAAGGGGCTTCAAAATGAAAGTGTCCTTTCAATGTGCACAAAATTGGTTATGCAAACTGTATGTATTCAAATGTTAAGTTTAGGTTATAGAAATGTAAGCTAGGTAAGCTATACATGATTGCTGAACTATTAATTCCCACGCAAAAGAATGTTAGATTTCAAAGGCTCTTTTCTCACAAAGGAAGTAAGAACCAAAGAATGTACATTTCCACCTCCCAGAGCCCATCAAGTCAGACTCTGATCCAGGATCCTATTCTGCCACGGTGAGTTTTCACTACACTGCATTCCTCCAGTGAGATCTAAGTAACTGTCTAGTAATAGGGGGACGCTCCAAAGTCCCTGATTGTAACCAAAACAGGCCCAGCACTGCTTTCGGGACAAAGTGCTTTTCATTTGCATTTCACTTCAAGGAAGATGTTGCATCCTGACAATACTACCAGGAAAACCATTCTTTTCACCAAGAACTGAAGTTCACACAAATAATTTGTTCCTGGGCTTTGGAGACAGCCTAGGAATGTAATCTTGGGCAAGATGCCCAGTCTCTGAATCTGAGTTAAAGATAAATAAAATGGAGTTTTGAACCCCGGGATCAACAGAATTGCATTCAGAGTGTAGGTGGACCACTAAAAACTCCAATAATTGCCGGGCGGTGGTGGCGCACGCCTTTAATCCCGGCACTCGGGAGGCAGAGCCAGGCGGATCTCTGTGAGTTCGAGGCCAGCCTGGGCTACCAAGTGAGTTCCAGGAAAGGCGCAAAGCTACACAGAGAAACCCTGTCTCGGAAAAACAAAAAACAAACAAAACCCCAGTAATTAAAAGTGATGTTATTGCTACTACCGCACCTATCTCTATAGTGAATACTGCATACAGCACTAGAATTCCTCCCTGTCTTCCAGATCTTGCTCCTCTACAACACAGCTCAGGGTATCTGAAGGTGGCTGGAGTGAGACAGGCAGCGATGTACCTGCAGGCAGGAACCACAACAGACGAGGCTTCTCTGAGCTCAAGGTCGGCTGAAATGCAATTCCAGGAGCGCTGTGTGTCGACCACTGCGGACTGGAGAGGACGCTGCGTGGGTGACCAGGCGCCCCCCTCTGATAAGGGCCGTAGCCTCCAGCCCACTCTTTAAAGGTTGTCTGAAGTCAGTGATGGAGGACGAGACTCCTCCGGCAAAGGAGACAACCCAGTTACAACCCAGACCCAAACTCCCCGGCCCCGGAGTGACGTAGCAGCCGTGTGAGAGAGCCCCTCACACTATTGGTCACTGCCACCCAGTGGGCGGAGCGCTGCGCAAACCAGCTGCGCAGTAAGCGCCACCTTTGCGGCAATAAGTCCCCCAGCTCGGCCATCTCCATGGCGACCGCGACCCGGTCACCCATTTGGCTACCGAGGTCGGAGTTACGTCATCGCCTTGCGCCGCCCGGAAGTGATTGTCCCTGCTTCCGGGTCAGCCGGGAAGCCCGGGCCTTCCATCACCGGCCGAGTTAAGCAAACTGATGAAGTGTCCACCGGGTGACCATGGCGGTGTTTCACGATGAGGTGGAGATCGAGGACTTTCAATATGACGAGGACTCGGAGACATATTTCTACCCCTGCCCCTGTGGGGATAACTTCTCCATCACCAAGGTACCCTCAGGGCCCGTCGCGACTCCTTGAGCTTGCGCTTTTTCCCTTCCGGTGTCTCTGGCTAGGCTGTCACCCACGTGTTCTCATGAACCCCCGCCGCTAAAGTAGTAATCTAAGCTGTCGGGGTACACCGTCTGGCCAGGGGCGCAGTTCTCCCTAGCCCCACCCTTAAAATCTTTTCCTGGGAACTTTTTTGGAGAAGGGAACTCGATTTTGTACCTCAGGGTTTTGTGGAGGCGATCAAACCAACTTAATCTCCATGGTTGTTTTTCTAGGTGACACTTTGGGGGAAGTTCTTTGTGCTATTACCCACCCCAAGACTTGCACATAGACGTGGGAAAGGCTTGTGGGAAGATGACGAAAGGGAGGCTATGCTGACCATACGTTGTTTGATTTTGTCCTAGGAAGATTTGGAGAATGGAGAAGATGTGGCAACGTGTCCTAGCTGCTCTCTCATTATAAAAGTGATTTATGACAAAGTAAGGGAGACATTGAAAGGGGTGGGTGGTGTAGGTAATGACAGAGACCTAAAGCAGCCTGTCTGATATAAAAGTGCAGAAGAGTGTTGGGTGTTTTTTCTTTTTGTTTTTTGGGTTTTTTATTGTTGCTTGTTGAGATGGTCTTTGTTGATGGTTGAGATGGAGCCCTGGCTGTCATAGAACTCACTATGTAGACCACGCCGGCTTTGAAATCAGAAGATTCCCCTGCCCTTGCATTTCGAGGGCTAGGGTTAAAGGCGTGTGCCACCACGCCCGGCCTAGAAGAGTGTTTCTTAACCTTGTGCTAGATCAAGGGCTATTTTTAAAAAGCTTTACAAATTGTCAGTACGTAGCTGTAGGATAATATTGTTCAAGTTTAAATTACGTAACTTGTGTTCACTTTGCAAAGGGCAAGAAAGAAATTGCTCTGTAATGACAATGTAATGTAATGAAAATGACTTAATCAGGAATGAAAAAACATCATGAAGTTTATTTTAATTAGTGTTTTTTCTTTCTTTCTTTCTTTCTTTCTTTCTTTCTTTCTTTCTTTCTTTCTTTCTTTCTTTCTTTCTTTCTTTCTTTCTTTCTTTCTTTCTTTCTTTCTTTCTTTTTTTTTCTTGAGATAGGGTATCTCTGTGTAGCTTTGTACCTTTCCTGGAACTCACTCTGTAGCCCACGCTGGCCTCGAACTCACAGAGATCTGCCTGGCTCTGCCTCCCGAGTGCTGGGATTAAAGGCGTGGGCCACCGCCGCCCTGGTTTTTTTCTTTTGACATTTCTTTTGTATTTACTGTTTGGTTAATCGTTTGTTTAGAGCTCCAGGACCTTTTGAAAAGATTGCCTTTTATTGCTTGCCTGGTTCATGCATACAGTCTGTTACCTTGTTTGACATATAATTCCAAGTTGTGATTTTTACAGTTTCATGTTAAATTTGTTCCTTTGTACCCAATAAGGATGACAATAGATAAAGGGTAAATGCTTTTACCCCACCCCCATCCCCACCCCCACCCAAAGTACAGTTAGTGCTTTGGAGTCTTAAGTTAGGAGCTTAACAGTCTTAAGAATGGACTCTAAATGAGTGTAGGGTAAGTTGGACCAAAGCACAGAGCTTTGTGAGTGGCAGGCTTTAGTTGAAACAATAATGTAGAAATTTGATGATTCATTCTTGGATTAAAATAGTCTCTGGTACAAAGAGCAGCAGGGACAGACCAGGGGCTGACTCCTTGGGCATCACACTATGGGAGATATGCAGTAACTGGGAGAGTTCTTGTAGTGTCAGGCATAAACCAGGATAAAAGACCAGAGACTGAGGTGGAATCCCAGCACTCAGGAGGCAGAGGCAGATGGATCTCTGAGTTTGAGGCCAGCCTGATCTACAATCGAGTCCCAGGATAGCTAGGGCTGTTACACAGAGAAGCCCTGTCTTGAAAAACAAACACAGAGAAGCCTTGTCTTGAAAAACAAAGAAAGAAAGAAAGAAAAATCAGAGACTGAACCTCATTTTCAAAGTAGTTACTATTGCAGGTCTGTGTTGAGAAACACAAAGACTAATTTTTTACTACCCATTTAAAGAGGCTGCATATTTGAATGACCAGATATTGAACTGATTAATGCAAAAACTTAAAAGATGTGACATGTTTATTTCTGCCAAGTGGTTGTTCTCTAGCAGATGGGCATATTTTTAAGACACTGCTTGTTAAATAATGATCTTAGGACTAAATTTCAACATGCTCTAATTCTATTGCCAACACCAGTTCTTTGAACAAAAATGAAGTGCTATTGGGGCTGGAGAGATGGCTTAGTGGTTAAGAGCATTGGCTGCTCTTCCAGAGTTCCTGAGTTCAATTCCCAACAACCACATGGTGGTTCACAACCATCTATAGTGGGATCTAACACCCTCTTCTGGCATAAAGGTGTATATGCAGATAGAGCACTCATACATAAAAATAAATAAATACACAAACAGATAAATAAATAAGTCTTTAAAAAAAATGTTCTGCCGGGCGGTGGTGGCGCATGCCTTTAATCCCAGCACTCAGGAGGCAGAGGCAGGCAGATCTCTGTGAGTTCGAGGCCAGCCTGGTCTCCAAAGTGAGTTCCAGGAAAGGTGCAAAGCTACACAGAGAAACCCTGTCTCTGAAAAACCAAAAAAAAAAAAAAAAAAAAGTTTCTTTGTCTCCAGTTTTGTCAACTGGGATAACTACTAATATCTATGGGGAGATCAAGGGTCCTGCTAGCATTATACAATGGACAGTCCAAATTATGCCTTATATTTAAGGCAACTCTGCGTTGTTCTTAACAATGGACAGTCCATCCCTGGACAACAGTTGGTTTTTAGTGCATAAGTCTTAGACTTTTTAAATTAAATTTGTTGCCATTTTTCTAATATCATAAATGAATTTCCCCTAAATTTTACATCTTGTTTTTTTATTGCTAGCATATAATAATGATAGAAACAAATGATATAGCAGTGGAAAAAACTAAAGCTGAGTTGATTCTGTAACGAAGTGAAAGTGATGTTAATACATTTGTGGGACAGAAACCTGGTGGCTAATAATAGCATTTCTTCTTCTGTCTTAGGATCAGTTTATGTGTGGAGAAGCAGTCCCAGCACCTTCAGGCAACAAAGAGTTAGTTAAATGCTGAAGAAGCCCCCGGGAACCCAAATCCTGAGCAGCAGGGAAGGAGCCCAGGTGGATGGATCAAGTGCTGAGTAGACAACCTCTTCACAGGACAGCTGTCTGTGGCTGGCTCTTCCATGTGGATCTTCATCAGCTGCCGAATTCATCATAAACAGACGAGCCTGTGACGTGTCCGACCTGGATTTCCTGTTCCCATGGAATTGGAAGGATTCCTAATTGTCCATCTGAATTTGAAGGAAGAGCGTTATAAACTGGTGCTTTTCCTTTCTCTCAGTTGCATGATTTCAGTATCTTAAAACTAATTCATTTTCTGAAAACAGCATCGTCCACTTCAATCCTGAGGCTCTTTATTTTATTTTTTAAAGATTTATTGTTTTATTTTTAATTATGTGAATGTGTGCATTTGTGTGGGGGTATGTGCATATGAGTACAGTTGCCCAGGAAGGCTAGACGAACTGGATCTCCTGGAGCAGGAGTCACAGGCAGTTGTGAGCCACCTGACATGGATATTGGCTGATCTCTGTGTGTTTGAGGCCAGCCTGATCTACAAAGCAAGTTCTACAACAGCCAAGGCTACACAGAGAAACCCTGTCTTGAAAACAAACAAACAAAACATATATATAAAGTAAACAAACAAAAACAAATACATTAGCTTATAGAAGATACTCTCATTCACACCTCCAAACAGTTTTCGGTGTGGCCTTGTGAAGTGATTGAAAGAACTAACGACAGACACTGGGTCGAGGGTCTGTCTTTTGTGCAAGGATATAATGCTATTGTAACTCCAAAGGGAGTGCAGCATTGTTCTGCCATGAACCACATCCTAACAATAAACAGAACTGCAGCTCTCACAGTGACCACTGAGTCTGGGGTAGGGCTCACATCCTGGACTGCAACAAGACCTTCAGCTGACTGACTCCCATACTTTGAGGACCATCTTTCAAGCTTTGTTGTGAATGAGTAATCCCCTGGGTTGCTATGAGAACGCCGTCTCAAAGAGTCTGGTTAAATCTGGGTGCAGCTTAAACATCATCAGGATTTGTTTGAAATGTCCCCAGTGGTCCTGATGCCCAGCCAAAGAAAGTGGGTTGGAAAAGAATATAATTTATAATCACAAGGTAAACAGGACCCAGTTGTGTTTTTAAATGGTCACACCTGCTTTGCGTGTGGAACAATCACGTGGCCTCAGTTAGCCACACACTTTACATGTAGACCCACAATAGACCTTTATGAAGAGTCAACTGGGATCACTCAGGCTGGGCTAACATGCACAGTGGGAGGGTCTCAAGCTGGGTGGCCTCTGGCCCCGTCCTCTATTTAAACAGACAATTCCATTTTCCAGCACATGCTCTGGTTGCTAATTACACAGCTTACAAAAGCAACAACTTCTCCAGGTGTGGCTAGGATTTTTAGCTGGTTCGAGGATGCCTGTCACCCTCTACTTCACACCAGTTAAATTGCCCCTGATTTTGAATTTGCCTTTACAAATTCTGAAGCCACTTTAAAAATTATTCCTTGTTAAGAGTTTAAAACAAGGAACATATAAATAAGAAATCCTAGTAAAAAAACACTATCCTATAACTTCAGAATGCTCAGAGTGGGGGGCAGGAAGTGGAATGGAAGCATCTCACCTTCCTGGACACACTTGAGACATTTGTTGAGGAGACTCAGAACTCCACAGCCTCCTAGACTAAGATAATTAGGATGTCCTGTCACAGATTTGTCCCATCTTCTCCCAGTATGGAAGCCAGAGCAAGGCTATGTATTTACCCTTCTTTAAGTCACTTAACTCGACCTGAGAAGCCCCTCTTGACACCTTTCTCTGAGAACTCATGGTACCCTATAGTATGTGGTCTTCCTCATTTCAACAAGCCCCCGGGAAGGTGGTCAGTGCTGGTTTACTACACAGAAGGAGGTAGTTGAGGAAGTACTCTCTGGGAGCCACAAGACAACCAAGGCTGTGACCCAGAGAGAGCCTCAGTGGTTGGTTCTTACTGCAGGTGCTATTTCTGTCCTGATCCTCCTCATTTCAGCCTCTGCTCTGAAGAACACTTCCCTGGGTGCCCAGACTCATCAGACATGAGGTCCAGGTCAGAACTAAGCCTCTACTTCTCCACTTCCAAGACTCCACTTCCAAGAAGTCTTGGAAGTTTCTGGAGCCTGGCTTTCCTTGCAAGTGCAGTCTGTAAGGTATACTGGCCTCAGGAGTAACCTTCAGCCAATAAGAGATGAGAGCTGGGTGGGAAGTGTCCCAGCCTGCTTCTCATTGGTTGGTTAGTTCTGGCACATATCTGTGAACATCTTAGGACATGAAGATTCAAAGCACAATGTTCACGACACCCTTGCATTGGCCTCTGTCCCTTCCCTGTCCCACTCGCCATATTGTCTCATTCTTGCTTCCTGGCATCACCTTCCAAATAAACCATCTGCCTCCAACCCCTTCTTCAGGCTCTGTTAGAGTTTGCATCAGAAATGTTTCCATGGGGCTTGTGTTTGGAATGCTTGTCCCCAGCTCTTGGTGCTATGTGGTGGTGGTGGTGCGGGGGTGGGGTGGGGGGGGCTTGTAGTACCTTTAGGAGGTGAGGTCTAGCTGGTGGGAGTGGGTCTCTAAGAGTGAGCCTTTGAAGGCTACCTCACTTGCTCTTTGCTTCCTGGTTTGCTGTGATGCGAACAGCCCCGCACTCCAGCTGCTGTGAACTGAGCTGCTCTGCCATCCATGCCTTCCCTGACATGGTGGACTGAAATCATGGCTCAGAATAAATCTCTTCTCCCTTAAGTAATTTTTGTCAGGTATTATGATCACAGAGATGGGAAAATAACTAATACAGGCTCCATCCCTTCTCCACTGTGTGCATGTGAATGTTGTGACCAGAGGTTGATTTTGGACTCCTCATTTGCACCCCACCTTAATGTTTTTTTAGGAATTTTTTTATTCTTTTTACATACCAATCACAGATCCCCCTCTCTTCCCTCCTCCCTCCCCTCCAACCCCCCCCCCCCCCATTTCCTCCTACAAGATGATAAAGAAGGTAAGGCCTCCCATGGGGAGTCAGCAGAACCTGGTACATTCAGTAGAGGCAGGTCCAAGCCCCTCCCCCTGCCTAAAGGCTGTTCAAGGTGTCCCACCATAGGTAGTGGGCTCCAAAACGCCACCTCATGCACCAGGAATGGGTCCTGATCCTACTTCCAGGGGGCTCCTTAAGCAGATCAAGCTACACAACTGTCTCGATTATGTAGAGAGCAAGGAGGGCCCAAAGAGTAATGCATAGATCGTCCTGGGAAGGGGAAATAGAAGAGAGTTCCATGAGTAAACTGGAGATGTGGGGGTGGGCGATGGAGGGTAGGGGATGGGGGAATGAGAACATAAGGGAATGGGATGGTCAAGATGGAACAGGGACAGAGTCGATAGCAATGAAAGAGATACCATGATAGAGGGGGATATCATGGGGATAGGGTGAAATAGGATGCTAGGGAACTTCCCAGGAATCCACAAGTATGACCCCAGCTAAAACTACTAGCAATAGTGGAGAGGGTATCTCAACTGGCTTACCCCCATAATCAAATTGGTGAATACCCTGTCATCGTAGAGCCTTCATCCAGTAACTGATGGAAGCAGATGCAGAGATCCACAGTCAAGCACCAGGACAAGCTCCAGGAGTCCAGTCAAAGAAGGAAGAGGGATTCTATGAGCAAAGGGCATCAAGATCATGATGGGGAAATGTGGGAGCCTGTTCTCGGGTTCCTCGTGGCTTTACCCAGCAGGTCCTCATAGAGGATGATTAGAACCACGGGCCTGAGTGCAGGTGTCTGAGATGGTCTGCACTTGGCTGTGCTGGGGAAGGAGGTCATTTGCTCCACCCCTTGGCATCTCTATAAAAACCCTGGGGCAGAGACAGTCGGGCCCATTGGAAAAGGTTCCAGGTCCTCTCGAGGCAATCCTTTATTTTCTATCTGTTTATCTCCGCAAGATTCTCTGCAATAAATCCTTCTATCTAATATTTCCTGCTGCTCACGCTCAAGAAAACTCTGGGGAGCTGTGGGGTTGGTGGTTAAACGCCCCACAGGGAAACCTACAGAGACAACCAAAGAAAACTAGTGGGAACTCATGAAATTTAGACCAATGCCGTGGAGCCTCCATGCAACTGGACAAGGCCCTTTATTTGGTTTTCTTAATTTTGTAAACAAGGCTAACCTAGGCTCAAAGAGAGTTGATGTAGAGCCAGGCATGGTGGCACACCCCTTTAATCACAATACTTAGGAGGTAGAGACAGGCAGATTTTTGAGTTCTAGGCCAGCCTGGTCTACATAGTGAGTTCTAGGACAGCCAGGGTTACACAGAGAAACCCTGTCTTGAAAAACAACCGAGTTGAGGTACTGTTTTCTGTTGGGGAACAGCTTTCATTGGAAATGCAGTACTGAGTTGAGCACTATGGTTCAAGCCTGTAACCCCAGCACATAGTTGGTAGAGACAAGAGGATGACTGTAATGTGTCCTGCCTGGTGTACATAGTGAGTCCTAGGCCAGCTAGAGCCACGTAGCAGACCGTGTCTCAATTTAAAAGGGCATTATCTCTTCTCTACAATTCTATTATCTCTTCTCTTCTCTTTAGTTTAATAGAATTTAGATTTACCTGTGAAGCAGTCTGAGGCTGGGGCTTTCAGGGTAATGAGGTCAATTAACTGCATTAGTTCCTTGTCTTGTACAACTGTCACCACACACCTGGGGGAGGAAGGGTTTATTAGGGCTCACTCTATCACAGCAGAGAAGGCAAGTGGGGAAACTCAGTCGTGGTGGCAGGAGGCGGAGGCTGTTGCCATGCAGCATACTAGGAAGCTGCCCATAGGCTCAAGGAGCTAGGCAGAAGTAGGCCTAGGCTAGGGTTTACTGCTCAGAGACACAGCTGTAGTGACCTACTTCTCCCAGGGAAGCCCATCCTAAGAGTCCCCAACCTCCAGAGGTTGCACCAGCAGCTGGAGGACAACTGTTCAAAGTGTGAGCCGACCCTTTGGAGAGGTTCCTGAGATGCTGGAAAGCAGTGCCTAGCTGGAGGAAGTAGCTCCTGGGGGAGAGAAGTACTCGGGGTTATATATTGTTCTGTTTGGCCCCGTCCTGTCTCTGTGTCTCTGCTTCCTGGCAGCCATGAGATAAACAGCTCCCATTCACCATATATTCCTACTGTGGTGTTCTGCCCAAGTCAATGGTCTTGAGCAACCACGGATTGAACTCACTGGAACTGTACAGCAGGATAAACCCTTCTCTCCTTAGGCCAGTGGTTCTCAACCTTCCTAACACTGCAACCCTTTAATAGAGTTCCTCATGTCATGGTGACCCCCCAGCCATAAAATTATTTTGTTGCTACTTTATAACTGTAATTTTGATGCTGTTATGTATCGTACTGTAAATATCTGATATGTAGGATATCAAATACTCAACTTCTGTGAAAGTTTCTTTCCACCTTCCCAGAGGGTCTGTGGCCCACAAATTGAAAACCACTACCTAAACCATGCTTTCTGGATTTACAGAACAGTATTATAAGATAATGTAAAATATTTTAGACAGAAGTCAAGTCAGGTAATTTGCTATAGAAAACCAGAGTATCACTTTACATCTCAAGTCTTTATAGAGACGCTTAATAGCTAATATAAAGTTTACACACAGTGGTAGCATCTGCTATCTGAAAGCTAATGTACATTTTGCCTTGTGGTGTAGTTCTTAGGAAAGACAAGATAGAGTTAAATATTTGTTATAAGTACATATTAAAGTCATCTTTTAACTTTATTTGAAAGTACTAGGTCAGTGAGATCAGAGGCAGTTACCTAGGCAAAATACATCCATGGCAAGAGCAGCCTCAGATGGCAAACATAGTTTACAGCTTTCTATGAACAAACCCACTTCCCTATAGCACCCATTCCAAAAGCTATTATCAAATATCCATTCTTGAGTAGTCATGAAAACATTAATAACAGTTTCACATATTAGAGGAGGCACTCTGCTCACCCTTAGTAAACAGACTTGTTTACTTACTTGTTGGCTTAGATGCAAGACCTGACAAGATTCAGAGTAATGGATTCAACTTCTACTGTGTGGCAAACGGCACTGTAAATATTTACTCAGGATCTTCCTTCTCCATCTAGATAAAGGCTGAATGGCAGTACCACCCTTTCAATTCACAAAGCATTTGGACCACCAACTTCCTAATGTTCCCCTGTAAGTCCTGTTTGAAACAGTGTGGCCTCCTCTTGGATGATGATTCTGATTTTAATCAAGGATGAATCAAAGACATTGGTGTGCATACTAACTTATTTCCACATACACGACCTGACATCACTTTGTAACACAATACTATTTTCATAGGTGTACCACACAGATTTTTTTATATCTTGCATTGTCTCTGCTACTATATGTGTATGTTAGGCCTAAGAACTAAAAATATCAATATTGTGATCATATTATCATCTGTGTCCCTGATAACCAGGAATTTAAGATTCAAAGACCTGACTTTGAACTCCAAGTATCAATATGAACACATGACATATTTTATCTTTTTGATATATAGGACATCCTCAAATGTAAAAACATTATAAGTCTTTAATATTGCTAAAGAACAAATGTCACATGTCAATTAAAGGTTTAAATATTTAAATGTATTTCATACTTAGTCTTGTGAATTTTGAATATGTTCACCATCTGCAATTACAAGAACTTATCATAAAACAACAAAGCACCTAGCCTGTACCCTTGTTGGGGGTATGGACCCACTTGTGTCTAAATCTTCTGTCCATTACCATATTAGCAGAATTAGAGAAGTGTTCCTGGACAATACTTTTCTTCATGGGGAGAGTGGTTGTTACAGGCACCAGGACCATCACTAACCATGCGTTGTTGTTTTTCATTGTTTCTTTCACTCTCCCATAAATCTTGCTCTATGTGCACTAGGAATCTCTCACATATAAAGCCAGAGATCTACACAAATGCTAGTGCTGTGGAACCACAACACTAATCTTGGAGCTAATTACTCCTGCCATTCTTCCAAAGGGTAAACACACATCAAAGTACTGTTAAGATTCTCAATCTGTTTTAAATGTTCCTGAAAACTGCATCTAGGTTATTGATTTAATATAATAATGTCTTATAAGTAATGTTATTCTTGCTACTTCATTTACATTGGTTTATAATTCTTGAATAGATGGTATTTATAGAGAATTTTCAATTTCTTTTGTCATCCAAAAGTCTACATAGAAGGTCAGAGACAGACATTTATGTAACAAATAGATTACAATGACTAAATAGATTAAATTTGTTCCCTGTATTTATTTTTCACCTCACCACTATTACCATTAGGACTCATCAAATCCTTTTTGGGTATGTGGGTTAGGGACTGTTGGAATATTTAGTGATATTCTTGGTGTCTACCTGTGTGATACTAGTAGCAATCGTCTTTC